ATGGGGCGGTGTAATTACGAAATAATTAGAAAACGTATGCGTTCAAACTTCAAAGCGATAAATAATTAAAATAACAAGAGATGAAAATTGAGTTGCATGCATGGGCGTTGTTTGTCATTTGTCAAGTTGAATGTATGTGAAACATTAAATTAATTGCCAATCCAAGACGATTTCTAGATTAGTCTATCGAAGCTGGGATTAGGGTAAATTTATTTTAGCCTTTTTCAATCAGGACAAATTTGTTATACAAATTAAACTCCATAAAGTTGGGATTTTGTAACAAGAATCAATAGTTAAAAAATTCTGCACTTTTATGCAAGGGCGCCCGTTGATTTAAAATCATCATCAGTAGAAAAAGGTAACATAAATATGAAAATTTCGAGCGGTCTGATTTTTTCACGACCTCCGTTTTCAGGTCAGAACACAAGATCATGGCACAAGTTTATAGCCCCTTGAAGGGACGTAAAAATGACGTAAAAATGGCGAATATATAGCACGTGACACAAATCATGACTGATAGGGTTTATTGGCATTGCAATTTATAGATTACTTCTAACGCATCAGTCCAAAATGTGTTAGGCCGGCTTCTGATGTTATGATTTTAATTTGAGTAAAATGTTCGACTGGATTAGTTTGTGTGAGAAATTCAATGATACCTCAAATTGTTTACCAATTTGAGCTCATTGTCAAGTACAATGTCGACCCGGAAATTCATGGTGTCGACTGGTTTTGACTTTTGAGAATAAGAGGAAACACTTATCACAGGAAATTTCACCCAACAACAGCAAAAATCACAAATGTTGCGCCAAAGAGATAAAATATCAAATATGCATATGATTTCCGATAAATTCGTTAGCAAAAATTTGATAGCCACAAAGCGATAACGGTAATTAAATGTTTGATTGACTATTAAATACGACATGCATGTCTGGGAGAAGCGTCCGGGAAAGATCGCTTGCGAGACAAAAACAAAGGAAAGCATGTTGTTTGCCAGGAGATATGATAAAAAACGCTGCCGCATTTCATGCTAATTACGTAACCGTGGTTGGAAGTTTGATTCATTGCGGGAATTCACATGACTATTTCCAGAGGTCAACCATATTGGGACACATCGGGGCTCCCAACATACGTAATCAGTGTTAAAACATCAAAGAAGGCCGGATATTAGAGAGATATAAGGGAGATCGTAATTTAGGCATGTTGTAAAACACGGACTGGACTGCATTTGTAAAACACGGACTGGACTGGACTGGACTGGACTCAAAATCTGTAAAACACGGACTCAAAATCTGTAAAACGCGGACTCAAAATCTGTAAAACACGGACTCAAAATCTGTAAAACACGGACTCAAAATCTGTAAAACGCGGACTCAAAATCTGTAAAACACGGACTCAAAATCTGTAAAATTATTAATTTTCAGTCTCAACAAACTGTAGAAAGTCGGCAAGAGAACTCACTATTTTCTCTACAGCAAAATAGCCAAAGTTGAAACTTGAGTATTGCATCATAATGGCATACGGCTCACTGCAAAATCCTATAAACGAACTTACGTTACGATGGCCCTTAACGCTGTTCAGGATTTTTGCTTCTTTTACGAAGCGCGTCTGGGAGTCGATGTTAAGACTTTTAAGTTTCTTCACAACGACATTTTGTTGCGAAGTGCTACCATATGTAGCCAAATATACCGACCCAAAACTGCCAGATCCAAGTTTTTTTTCTTTGGAAATGCTTTCCAGGCAAATCTCGGAAGCTCTAAATCCTTTTGTTTTAAAACAACTTTCGGGAGCTTAAAGCTCCCTGCCATTTTAAAGTATACCACTGAAGTAACTTGGTTTTAAGTCCAGACTATACACGACAGACTATCATACACAATCGTCGCATGAATGCAGCTGTTTGACAGTTTGTATTTCCGGATACGAAATAATATAAGCTGTTACAATTTAAGGTTTATACAGCCTGTACGAAACTGGTGATAGCTACTTAAAAATAAAATCTTTAAAATTGAAATAACTTATCTATGGGTTAGAACGCATTATATAATATTTATGAATTTGGTGTAGTTACTTGGGAATCTTGCTAACACTCTGAACTGAAGTAATAGTATAGCCGCCAGAAAGGTGAAAACTGCCAAATGAAATATGAAGACCCTGCAGTTAATTTCCTTTCAAATCAAACGAAGAATCATTAACCATGCAAGCCAGACCCGCTTGTAGTTCGAACTTAGCGTTTTACAGATTTTGAGTCCGTGTTTTACAGATTTTGAGTCCGCGTTTTACAGATTTTGAGTCCGCGTTTTACAGATTTTGAGTCCGTGTTTTACAGATTTTGAGTCCGTGTTTTACAGATTTTGGGTCCGCGTTTTACAGATTTTGAGTCCGCGTTTTACAGATTTTGAGTCCGTGTTTTACAGATTTTGAGTCCGTGTTTTACAGATTTTGAGTCCAGTCCAGTCCAGTCCGTGTTTTACAGATTTTGAGTCCGTGTTTTACAGATTTTGAGTCCAGTCCAGTCCGTGTTTTACAAATGCAGTCCAGTCCGTGTTTTACAACATGCCCGTAATTTAAAGTCATTATGATAAAAATAACATGTGAATTTCATTTTAGTCACCCCTCTGCACTGTAGATGCTCTGGAGCGTATTGTGATGATGTCACCCTAGACAATTGCTACACGATACATTCATGTTTTAATCATACCATTGGAGGAAACGTTACATATGGTTGCACCGAAAAAATTGGTTGGCAAAAGCTTTTTTGTAACATGCCTCCTGGGATTTTTACTTTAAAATGTTGCACATCTGAATTCTGTAACAGTAATGGTTTACCTTCTAAGCCTTATTTACCAGGTTAGTGCACTGATCTGTTACGGCGCATGCGCTAGAAAAGTTTAATTATTTATGAAGAAAAACAGAGACGTATAGAGTCAATTTCAGTAGGGAGTTGAGATTGCAATTCTAAAGTTTCTCAGCTCTTATCTGTGACGGATACAATGTTGAAAACATTAATTTATCACCCCTTTTTTATAGTTCCATCATTGAAAATAGCTAGCTTGGTCAAGGGCAAAGTTACAGGTTATATAAACGATACTTCTGCTAACAGAGCTAAAATCGATGGATACGTCGTCACGGCCTATACACCAGGAAGGACGGGTCGGCGGTTGAGATTATTACGGTCTAATGCACGACTCTTCACGTTTGATCACCTATCCGTGAATACAACATATGTTATTGACGTAACATCCTATCGAGGCTCTCTGACATCAAACAGATCACAGCCACTAATAATCAAAACCGAAAGTGTTGGTATGTACATTGTTGGCATGCAAATTCAATTCATATTCGAGTCATATTAGACTAGTTTTTAGTATCAAATTTATAAACCCCCAAAGTTATTATAGCCACCAGCTGCGTTCTCTCAGTCAGAGAAATTGTTTTCTGCGCTAGCCATGACAATATACGAAGTTCTAAATTTGTTCTCCCTGTGAGCGCTTATAGTCGGTCAGTTTTTTGCTAGTCGTTTCTCTATAATAATTGAAGACTGTTGAGTAAAATGTTGACTATGTTCTTCTTCCTTTCAATTATACCTTAGTCTGGTCGCGCGATTATTTAGATGGTTTGTTGCTTCTTTTAGACTCCGACTCAGAAAATCTACTTGCAGTTTGATTGAAATGCATTTTCTGACTTGAGTAGGGCCCAATAGGTTACAACCTACCTACAGTAATTAAAGGTTACAGCTTTGAGCGGTCAATTGCTATTACTCGACGTCGTTGCACCTATATATTGTACTTCCTCCCAACGTGATGTTTGCATGCTTGCTATTTCAGAATGCGATTACTACAGGAATGGAAAAGTTGGTGGCAAAAGGTCTTGCAGCGCATTTGGATGCTTCAGCTTATGGAAAAAAAACGGAACGAAACTGGAAATCCAAGAAAGAGGATGTTGGAATAACGTATCTGTTTCAAAATGTATGGATTTTAATATCAGCAGTAACTCGACGTTCGTGTTCTGTACGTGTCACAACGGACATTGCACGCCAGCTAGGAAAAAATTGAAAAACCAAGTGGAAACGTTCTAGATTTAAAGAACAACGGTATTGAACTTCTACGCTATTCTCTTTTGTTGCAATTGCACTGAAAAACAGCGTTAGCAGATGGTTGCGCGTTTAAGATATACCTTAGAGCGGAGTTCAAATTTAATGGAGCTCAAAAACCGCATTCATGCATATGCGTTTCCTTAAGTCCTGCGACAAGCAATGGTATTTCAAAACAATGCTTCAACGGACTCAACGATGATCGAGGAGCCAGTCTTATAGAACAGTGTTTAAAGTTGGGTTATTTCCATCGCAAACAGTCTGGTGAAAAGTCAGTTTCTGGTTGTATAACATTATTTAATATTCGCTTTTTTAAGGCCCTGTGCACAGTGCAATTTTTTTTGCAATTAACTTGTAATTGAACTCTGCCTTTAAGAGATGTAAATTACTGCATGAAGAGTCTTCAAATGTAAATGAGAGAAACGTGCATAGAGTGTAATAAACAGCGATTAACACAAAAGTTTCGTATTTGCCATATTTACATCTCTGAAAAGTGGAATTGTAAATTGCAAGTAGCATGAAAAATTGCGCCGTATAACAGTGCGTTTACATTGGCCATTGAATCGCGCAACATAGCTTTAATATTCAACCATGCAAAAAAGAGATATTTTAATTTTATTCCTTGTATATATATATATATATATTCCTTATACACGAGATATTTATTTGTCCTAAGTTAAAACAAAAGTGGCCGTAGAGCGTTCTTGTGTATAAGTTAAAGCATAAATAAAGCATCGTTTACAAAGTTCTATGTTCAGACTCCTTTGCCATGCCATGCCAGCTATTCTCTAGGTCAGTCAGTTAGTTGAATACACCGTGAGCCTATACATATTTTCTTAACCCTCGCATGTAGACCGTTTAGTTTGAACCATGATTTGTTGTATATACCAATTAGTCCCTGTTAAAGCAGGTTTTGCATATATGTAGCGCAACCCAATTGATGGCAATGTCTATTTGGATGTTTTCTGAGCTTACATGTAGTTGAAAGTCTACTTTACTGAAACTGGATGGGCTACAAACAGGAGAGTTATGACTTCGGACATTGTGATCGGAACCTCGCCCTCTTCCTATCCGCCTGTTTTTACCCAAGATTTACGGAATGCATGTTAATTCACGAGGGTTAAGTAACTCTTTTGTACCAACTCCCTGGGTAAACTATCTGGTTCAAACTTACCCTTAAGTTGGACCTATGTGATATAGAACGCAGCTGTGAATATTATTGACGATAAGTTCTGCATTCTGCGGAATCACTGAAACGAACCTTCGTTTTAGCAACGCTTGCCTGAAAAACGAAAAAGATTGGTTTTACACTTGAGAAACGATAGAGTGGAAAGTCGGCTTACCTAAACGCGCTACAATTTGCAAAAAACATTTTCTGCTTAAAATATTCGTTATCGATACATGCATCTGTAGAGGAGGAACTAACTTCTTACAGTTACTTTCACAAATATTACCAACGAAAGGCAAACGTCTGCGTTGTGACGTAGGTCGCTGGTTGCGGTCAAAACATGCTTAAAAGATTAGCCAAACCGTCTATTTGGCCAAACAGAAACTTGCTTTGTCGAATTGAATGATGATGAGGAAGTCGAATTGAATGATGAATATTCCTTAAATGCAACGAAGGAATGCACGCAGTCGAATAAAAAGTGACGACTTTTCACCCAATTTGCGGAATTTACAAATCGGTCCGCGAATTTTCAAACTGTGGTCAGTTTGATAGAAATATTTGCCCGTATGGGCAGACTAAACTCTCCTTCGGCATCAGTGATAAATAAAACGGAAATAAAAAATGACTATAATCTTTTTCACACAAACCTGAGAACCGTTGTTTTGATTGTACGCAGCGGTTGTTCTTGCTCCGCCATATTCAACTTTGGTTTTGTGAGATATCTGTCAGGACATACGAGATTGACAAACCGGATAAATATAGGATTTTATCAATTACGTCTGACTAGGCCTCAGCTTTCCCTGGGCACAAGGGGACGATTTGTGACGCAGTATAGATAATTGAGAAGGGAAGCGAGCAAGCTAGCTATTATGCACGTGGGCCCCAGCATGCAAGCATACCTGAAAAGCTGGGAATATTTAGGCTAATTTCTCTATAGAATGCAATACAAATATATATACCTGAGTAACAACGGCGCCCGGCCTGTAACTCCCATTACGTTTTATTGTATCTGTTTCCTTCATCGGACTCTTTAAAACCTATAGCAAAGAGTGCCGGGAAATGAATTGCAAACAGCGTATATGCGACTAGTTAAGAGATAAAATACTTTTCTCCAGTCCTGTGTGTGCTTGTGGAGAAATGGTGCGGGAAACATTAATATATACTTATATACAACAGGACAGCTATTTCCAGTTCTGGGTACCTTGTTTGCGTCCTGTTGCGCCAGCCTATAAGAAGAGAGTATCTCGATGAATGTGCTGGGGAAGATCTTCAAGTGACTATATACAATTGGGGAAGATGTTTAAGTAACTCTATACAATTGTGATGCTAGTTGACCATAAAAAATCCTTTGCATGCACTCAGAAGTTCGGTTACTTCCTATTGCAATCATAAAATGCGAATAAATTACACCCAAGGCAGAACAATTAAATCTGTTAGTTCACACCATAAAGCCACGTGTTCTTACTTTTGTAATGATAGAAGGTTACCAATGGCATGGCGGGAGCGGTTCACAAGTTGACCTAAACGCAGGGGCTCCTCTTTGAAAAATCTATGGAAAGAAAAAATTACCATAAAATGCTTTTTATTCCTACGAGGTAGAATTATTCTTCTTCACAGATCACGCATGCATGAGTGCACGAGGATCACGCACTTTTTTAATTAAGAAAATTTCTGAATCTCATTCGGCTATCTGATATGATCATAATAATCGGATCCATATGCTGCTGACATTAGTGATATCCAGTGTAAATTATCGTGGAAAAATCGTCTCAATTTCTTGTAATCATTTCTCATTATAATTATTTACCTCTCTTCTTCAAATAAGGAATTTTTCCGCGGTCATTACACCCCTTGCATCTTTATTGAGGCTTTCAAAATCAGCTGATATAAAAAAACAAATTAATATATTTGACCGATAGACTGAATTGAATTCTATCACTGAATATTAGTTCACAACTCGAACTCCTGCCGTCCTACGCCCTTATTTCGTATAGGTGAAGTGAATTATGATTGTATCTTACACTTTAAGGAAGCAATTGATCGGTTCAAATTTTCAAGGGAGGCATGAATTTCATCGAGTTCACTTTGTCTTGTACTTGATTTATAATTGACCGCTGCTTCTCGCAACATCTCAATCTCATTCTCCAGACGTCTGCGAGTATAAAGAATATGAATTTCATAATCAGTTTTTCATTGACGATTTCACTATCTCCATCATTGTTATCTCAACGCGCGACGTCATTGTAGGCTACCGAAAACGAGGTTCAGCAATCGTGCAAACTAACCTCATAGTTTTTTCAGCATTATCGCTGCGTCTTTGATATGCACTTTCTTCATCTCGCATTTTTTGTCGTTGAATATTAGAGTTCTTTTGTGAATCTTTAAACAACAAGAGATTGATTTGTCATTATAATATACCACAGATTGTTTTGCTGCTACCACTTATTACCAATTTAAAGATGTTTAGAGTGTATCTTTATCACGTCCAGGCCCTTTCAAGCGGACAGGACAGGACAGGACAGGACAGGACAGGACAGGACAGGACAGGACAGGACAGGACAGGACAGGACAGGACAGGACAGGACAGGACAGGACAGGACAGGACAGGACAGGACAGGACAGGACAGGACAGGACAGGACAGGACAGGACAGGACAGGACAGGACAGGACAGGACAGGACAGGACAGGACAGGACAGGACAGGACAGGACAGGACAGGACAGGACAGGACAGGACAGGACAGGACAGGACAGGACAGGACAGGACAGGACAGGACAGGACAGGACAGGACAGGACAAAACAGGACACGACACGACAAAACAGGACAGGACAAAACAGGACAGGACAGGACAGGACAGGACAGGACAGGAGAGGATACGACAAAACAGGACAGGACAGGACAGGACAGGACAGGGCATTGACAGAGTTCTATACATCGCTATCTTGTAAAATCTCTTTCCGTTGATCCTCCCTTCCCTCCCCATCATAGGAACGAATCAAAACAACATTTAATAATCCCAAGATCAATCTTTAGTCTACCGAATCAACAGACTTCAATACAAAAAATCGACGTACTTGACACAACAGTTTCAATAGCCTGGGTGATTCGCTTTCCTGTCTTGGAAATCATGGAATGAAAGATGTGAGAATTGTATTCATGTTGACTGCGCAATTCCTTCAACTTTAACCTCAGTTGCTTGACATCTTTCCGGAGATATGTGGACGTCACTCTAATTGATTCATCTCTTGCACGGTGTGATGTATCCACCCAAACTCTTGGTTTAACAATTGATCTCCTCGGTGACTCTGCCGTAGAACATTCTTGCTCTTTTTCCTTATACTCTTTCGAAGGAGAGAGAACTCCAACTGTTTCTTTGCTTGAAATAAAACTCGGATGAGGTGGATTCGTATTTGGTTCTGAAATTTATGCAAAGTAAAAGACCTATTACTTAAGCTCTAATCTAATTCATATATTAGAACGTTTCCCAATGGTGTTTCTCATTCAGATTTGATGCTGTGGCTTAACTCGTAGCCCTGTATTTGCTGTTTTACTTAAACACGCTCTTTTTTAATGGAAGGAATATGAAACACTCCAGGAAAGTGAATGACATACCTATAGAACTTCTTCCACAATTTACAGCAATTATAGATTCCGTTCCAGAGTCACTAGCAGATCTTATTTTGTTGGTAGAACTAGAAGAGATGTAGGCTGGCCTGAATGGAGCATCAAGCGAGTCCATTGAATTGTCATAACTTGTCACGTCACTAACACTATCTGTTCTTAACGCTTCTTCCGGAAGATCTGCAAGACTGTTCGGATGCGCTTCTGCAGCACCTCTTGATGGCCTTAAAATGTCAATATTTCATGTTGCTTTGAATTTCATGAAGCTATAAATTTAGGTTTCGATTAAATATCGATAAGCGTGTAACTTTGATGTATTTTGTCTATAATGATTTAATTTGTACTTACTTTCTGACTTCGTTACTGTCAAGCCTTGATACCACCCCATTCGGCATCGATTTTGGGGTAGGCGAACCAACATTCGAATGGCATGTGGGAGACATTTCGTTATGGGTAAAAGTTTGCCAAGCTTTACCATAACTCGGTGAAAATGGAACTGGGCTTTTTGTCCTGTAGACAAAAATCGCCGTAGAGCAAATATATTAAAATAAAGTATATCCCCTTAAATGAGAAGCTAGCAGTCGGACAATCGAATACCAGTAAGTTTACCCTGTAAAAATATTTTATTATTGATAAAATGTTTCATTATTGATATTTTAAAATACTTTGCAGTCAGTATAATTGCATGCGATAGACAAAGCCTGTACGATTTTGAAAAAGAAATACTTCGTGCGTGTTTGGAGCAGCCTTCGTGGTTAGGTTTATGACACATTTAAAAATATAATACTCACCTGTTCAGTGGGCTTGGTCTTGACACATCATTTGGAAAATTTTTAGCAGGAACAACACTCGTATGTTTATCCTTCGGTGTACTAGACACTATATGACGTTTGGGAGTCGTGATATATCCAGATTTTGTGGTTCCATGAAATGAATAGCTCCCTGCTCTTGTGCGTGATATTCCTTTTTGTGTAATTGCTTTAGAGAGGGCATCGATTTCTGATGAATTGAAACTTCTGGATCGTCTGCGTTCGTCATAAGTGAAGCTACTGTTAAGTTTGCCGTGGTCTGGACTCCGACAAGGTTTTTTCTTTGGGGCTAGTAGTTTTAGATGACTTCCTGGGTGGACATGCCTGTTGATTTGAAACAGTTAAATGTGGCTTATTAGTGCCATCGCACATCTATACGTTGATACTAGTATATAAAAGATAAATAAACAAAGCAGTCCCTGTACCTAACGTCATTCAACTCTTTAAAAGCTCGAGTGAAAGGATCTCTGATAAGTAAAATGCCGCGATCAGCACTAAAAGCGTAATTCTTCAACTCGGAATGGAAATTGTCTTGAAACAATAGCTTGATGTGGCCCAGTGTGGCTGCATCCTCAGGCAATTTCACCTGTTTGATTTCTTCCCCACATTGTAGCCAGATGGTACCTGCATAATATTCAGTAGAAACTTGATGAAATGAAACAGACGTCGGTTATATAAAAAGGTAGCTAGTTTTTGTTTAACTATAGTTATATTATATATAGTAGTGATAGAATCGGTCAATTAGAATCGTGTATTTTGGAGTTAACTACGATTCAGTTGCACAAGATTAAGTTGGGAGTTTTGTACAACCAGCTCTAAGCGACTCAAAATGATGGACGAACATAAACAGAATTTATATACATTTAAACCAATCGTCGTCCAATCGTCCACATGGACCACATTGATAAGAAGTTATATATTTTATAGCCACATGTATTTTATAGCCACACTGCCCCCTGGTTATACTGGAACGTTATACATTGGTATGTGGATGCGTGCATGCACAATTCTGGAATTCGCATTCATCAGATAACAGGGGAGTTTGAATGGGCAAAATTCGTGAAAAAATTTGCCCATTCAAACTAGACCAATCATTACTTAGAATCATGCTCAATTATATTAATCGTTCATGATGGAATTTTAGGATGGTACATTACCTGATTTGCTATCCACTTTTCTTGGCAAGGCTGGATGAGAAGTATCGGGGCTTTGTGGATAATATCCATAACGATTCCTTGCTGTGAATTTCGGCGACCTCGAAGGCTCCGAGCAAACATCATCAATAGACTGAAAATATTGTGGTATAAAGTATATGATCGGTATAACATGTAACAACGGGCGGGCTTTGCATGAAATGTCATTTTATGCGCATGTGCGACTAGTTTAGTCTCGACATTGTCGTTTCCTACTTTTCGTGCGACAGTTCATCGTTTCCTACTTGATTTTATGTGCGATTTTCTATTTGGTAGATGTGATCGAGTGGACAAGTTACGGATGTTCAGTTTAGAGCACGAATCTAGATGGCATGCACGTATATGTACAGAACATAACTATTCACTTTTTTGCATCCGCCAAAAGAAGTAAATCGCAGCATAGACAACCAAAGACAAGAATTCCCTTTGATTGTTTATGATCGCACTAAAATTCGCATGAGCAAAATCTGCAAGTGTGTACGCCCTGATTAGAAACAATGCATGGTTATTTTATACTTAACGAGTATCATAAAACTGGATTTTTGCTCACTATTTGATTTTTGCTCACTATTTGATCTTTGCGAGTTTGATATTGGCTAAGATCATCTTTGAAGCGAGATTTTAGCATGTGTACGACTTCTTGCCGGGTCAGATGCTTCTCTTGTGTTTCCACCTGGATTATTTTGGTATTTTTCCTCACATAATTGTCATTTTCATCAACCAATGTTGTTTTTTGAGGTATCGCATCTATGATGACGCTGTCACTGTACACTGTGGCTGTTTTTTCAAAACAAACACCTTCGGTCTCATCTTCTATAAAATTCAGTAATTCGGCATAAAAAAGTCTGCATATTAGTAAATGCTTCCCGCAAATGCTCTCTTACTGCTGCTTTTGCCGACGAGTAGTTTCTTTTCGCCGACTCTGGGTAACTGGGTTCGACTACGAGACAACGTGCTAAGGGAAGTTATCCTGGTTAACCGGCTGAAAAATATTTTGAAAAATTCCTTTGGGCTCTAATGCATTTAAGTCTTCAATGGGGATTTGAAAGTCCAAATAATTTCAGCGACACCATTGCAAATTACTGACCGAACGCGAATCTGATTTGTTGCGTAATAAAATTGTGTACTAACTTACTGTAGGGAGCCACTTTAATGGCTAGTACAGTTATTTTCTATTGGCGGGAACATCAGTTTACAACGGCAAAGACAGGTTAAAGCCGGGACGCCGGAGATACATGCATGACGCTCGACTGGATAATCGCCCAAAGAAAAACCCACTTTTCATTACTCTCAATATTTCGTACGTTTTTATATATTGATAAAGATAGTTCTTTGCCTCAATACGGTACTGTTTGACCTAACTTGAAGCTGTATAAATGCAGTCTTGGCCTGACTGCAAGCATTTGGGCCGTATGCCAAGAAATTATCCTTTGGCTTTGCCGATCTGCCATCGCCTAATTTTGCTTAAGTGGGTATTATAGCATATCGAATGTTAAAGCTTTAGTTGAGATAGTTAATAAGCTGCCCCAGCAAGTTGGTATGTAAACCTCTAAAGTAAAGTATTCACAACACGCTAGTGATACAAGTTAAGAAAGTGGTGGTTAAAACATGCTTGAATGCATGCAAATAAATGAAACTCAACAAACAGCATTTTGAAAATTAACTTACTAATTTTCTTCCCAGAAAGGCGAGACAGAAATCGACTTTTCCACTCTGCCATTATTGTAGATGGATGCTCTTGAACCAAGCGAAGCACATTCGAGGAAGATTATTGTTTGCCGGCAAGTTTTAAAATGAGGCTGGATTTACATAACATATATACATACCGTATAATAAGTGATGACTACAAATCGCTTTTCCCTACAACACACTTGTCTAAGGAGAGGATTATTTATTGTCCTTTTGGGGTTTCAGCTATTGTGTTCTTGGCAATTATATTTTATAGCCATCACAAAATCCAACTGATCACCTAATCTGCGTACTACCGGTATTGTATTCATGACTGAAAAACCTATTTTAAACACATGCATAGCTTGCCTAATTAATTTAAACAAAAATCCTGTTTTCTGTAAGCTAAAAAAATTATGCATTCGTGCGAAAAAACTGTACTGTAAAGTGTAGTTTAACTACGCCCTGTTGGTCACAAGCGAATTGTCTGGTAATTTATTTCACCCCTTAGTAGGAATACTGCGAGATTCGCAAATTTTTCTAACGAAGTCTTTGAAACTGCCGTTCAAGAATCTTTTTTGAGACTTACGTTTTAGGCTTTTACCTAAAAAATAAACCTATTTATCTCAATGACAATGGTAAAGTATTATGGTTTATTCATGACAATGGTCTTTACCCATACAACTTTACAACATTAATAGGAAAACTGAATGCAAATGATTGCTTTGATAATATAAGCTTGTATTGCTGTATATTTTGTAGTCGAAAGAAAGCCTGTCATTGTCGGCTCGTTTGTGTGAACCATTATTTACTCGTTATCAATACTAAGTAATCTTTATTTAATCGCTCTTGTCCATTATCATATAGCCGTCCAATCTCAGGTAACTGCACAAATATTTGACAGAATATTTATTGTAAATTGTTTTACATTTTACCTTCTAATACTGCATACAAGAAGAATTTGTCTAAAACTATGTACAATCTAATTTGTCGCAGTTTAGAGATGATACTTAACATCTATAGGGAATCTTTAAAAAAATGCGTTACAACACCTTCACGGCTTGTCAAATGACGTGCCAAAAAACGGATCGTGAATGTCGCTGGAATTTGAACTACCTCGACTTTCCAAACGCAACGTTCGTGGGACCAGCTTACCGTGCGGAGAATTTGGTAAGTGGGCGCTGAAGGGGCTCAACGTTGGAGAGGGACTATTTGAGTGCTGTAACACGGTGGGCCGATCAAAATTAAAGGCCGTTCCCAGCGCGATTTGAGGCGAGACATGCGGGGATAAGGAGGGTGGAGAAAACGTTATAGGGTTCATTTGATGAGAGGTCAGCAACAAAGGTCGTGCTCTGTTGTTTAGCAAAAGTTTTCCCCCGCCGCCCCACGCAACTGATGAATTCAAAACTGGGTCGAAGGATAACGGGAATAACTGAAGTCCGTGGTTTACATCGATGGGTCGGGGGTCTGATTTCTTTGTACCAACTTCTGACTTAATACCGGCCGGCCCGATCGGCTTGAACGCGTTGTAGTCCGTGTTTATCCCAGGGGAGATTTGTCTCGTTAAGGGAACGGCATGTGCACTCGAGTATTTTGGTAACGTGATGACAGTAGTACGCGAAGGTCGTAGGACAGGATTCACTCTTGTTGAAATATCGTTTGTGCATAGACCATCCTTTCTCGGAAGCTCTATTCTGTTGCCACTAACGATAGGTTTGTGAAAACTGCCTTCGTTGATAGAGTTTAAAGAAAAGGGTTCGACAGGCGAGACACGGGTTTGTGTGTGTGAACTAACTATTGGGTCAGGGCTTTCCGGTGGCAGTTTCAATACGGTCTCCCGCAGTAATCCCGTCGGGGTAATATCACCAAGATCTTCTGATAAATCATCGTTATCTAGGCCATCGTCTACATCCATTTCATTTTCGTCAAACATTTCTTCATCCTTATAACTGTCATTATCAAACATGTCGTTCTTGTTCGAAGATAGCTGCTCTAACTTGATGGTCCCATTTATAGGGTATATCGACAGCTGTTGATCTCTTTCTAAGCTTTCCGTGGGAAAGATCGATTTCTGGAAATTTAAGTCTTTCACTGTACGGTTAAGCACAAGCTCCTGTTTAACTTTACCAGATACTGGTTGACTATTTCCTTTCTTGCTTCTCTCAGATTTGCCAGCCTTGTTGGAATCTTTTTTCGTGCTTTTACGACTTGATTTTGCAGGTTTTGGAGCTGGGGCGGCCTTTACTTGTTGCTTTTTCCTTGGTTTCTTTGCTGGTTTTGGAACAGGTATCTGCACCGGGGGAATAATTGCGTGTTCCGGCGGCGCCATCGGATGACTCGCGACCTTCAAAGAAAGACAGGATTATAAAAAAATTGACAGGAAGGATAAATCCAATGCCAAATCAGACCGAGAAAATACTTTGTATCTGGCGAGAGATGCCAAAAATGCAAACTTCAAGAGATAAACCTATTAGGTTAATAAGGGCCTACGTGAAACGTCACATTCCTCATGCGCCGAACGCATTAATAAAAAGAATTGATAACGATGCATTATTGCTTGTTATCTTTTGTTTTCAATGCGTTTGGCTCATGAGAAAGTCAACGTTTAGGCTAAGCCTATAAGTGCATGGAACTGCAGTGTATTTATAGAAGTATAAAGTAATATAATAGGTCCATGCATACAGTTCTATGATGGTCATGAATAAAAGAAAAATATATTTACAGCAACCTGTGAGATGTCAGCAAACCTCAAAAAAACATGTCAGTATGTATATATATATATATATATATATATATATATATATATATATATATATATATATATATATATATATATATATATATATATATATTTAGCCAAAATTTTCATGCCAGTATAGAGCTGCTGATTACGGAGAAGACCGATGTAATAATATTCGTAATTTCGTACGCCATAACAGTAATAACCATATTTAGCTAATTTAGCTGGGACAATAAGGGAATAGTTTGATTGACATTTATGAAGAAAGAAAGAAAATATAGATATGTGAGAGTCTGAGAGAGTGAAAGAGGGCATAAAAACAGGACGTGTAAAACATTAAAAGGGAATATGCAGGAAGTGAGAATATTATAACCTAGTGAGAATATTAAGTCTATAAAACGTGCACTGATAACTATAATTATTCTATATTGGTATAATAAGGTATACTTGCATGGTTTATACTTTTTTCACCATTAGAATGAATGACCAAAATAAGATAAACTAACCTGTCCTGTTGAATGTTCGCGACATAGTGGTCTATCGTGAAGAAGATCTAATATGGTTCGCGCACATTTAGACGTCGGCGAGATATCGGCGGTACAATGTTGAAACAATTGCTGTTTTTCGTCTTTCAATATGTCTTCAAAGAAGTTAAGTCAAATAAGGAGTAAAAATTGTTTATGGTAAATTTTAGGGTAATATTGGGAAGTATATTTTCATCACAATTAAACACTTCCTTAAAATATTACTGGGGATTTCTCAGGAGAGGTATTTGACGTGGGAAACAGGATTTTTGAACAAAACAAGACCAGTATTTGATATCTCGGACAAACCTTATGTCTGAAAATCTGACCCTTCTTGACCCCACGGGAAAGGATATGAGGATTACAGCCACTCTTACCCCTTGTTATCAGATGAAGCTGGTTTATTTGGGCTTGTACATCTGTTTCGATGCTTTTTACATGCATACAAAATTTCCACACATATCGGATACAGCCGTGTGTATATCTATAGCACAAATCATTCCTAGCTACGACCGAAATTGCTTCACGACTCTTAAAAAAGACTTAATTCAAGGATACGTTGATAGCAAAACTTCGTGTAAGGAATTGAGCGTCGTTCACATTTCATTTTTCCTGGTACTTGAGCTGTGCAAGTCACGAAATCTTGTCTTGCTGAAGTAGATCGTTTACGTTTTCTAAGAAGCAAAAGAACGGTTATCACAAGTTCGAAAGCGTTTGATAACAACATACATACAGCACGCGATAGATGAAATACGTGATACGATGAAGACTGTCAAAAAAGATTTATATCCAACAATCCAAATATTTCTCAAAGAATTCTGCACCAAAAAATTTTCATAACTTGTTAAAATTTTCCGGTTGTTTTCAGAAAACGTGACATAAAATAAAAAGGTCGCATAACAACCAAGCATGCATGTTGATCATATTTCGTAATGTTTTTGTTAACATAGCTGATGTATTTGTTAACTGTGATGAGGTGGCTTTTGTTAATAATTTTCAACTCAGAACATTGATTAATATACGTGGCATATGTTTTATTTCTTAGCCAAAAGCGTCTTCCCAAAAGATGTATATGTAAGGCCACACAAAAAAATTCCTTCATTCTCATCACTGTCCAACTGTATTTTTAAGGGAGGGCGTAAATCACCAGGCAAAATATTCATTAGTATTTGAAGACATTGAAGTTTTTGTTATATTGTATTGACTTTTGGTATTATTTCATTGACAAAGGGCTTTAAATTTAATTCAAGGGTTAGGGCATTGTTTCTGGAGAATTAGATGAGTTGGAGATAACAGTAATATATCATGTAGTAGGGTTTATTTTAGTTTGCAAGCAAATTGTTTCAGAAATAGCTAAAATATAAATTGTTAGGATATATATTTATTGATTATTTATTTATTGATTTACTAATTTTGTAATGATAAGGGGAAAATATAACTGTCTCACCTCATCACATAATTGTTTTCATTGTGAATTGCTGACGTTGTTAGAGCTGGGTTGGTTTTAACTGCAGTCATTAGTAAACGAAGGGCTTCATCAGACTGCTTTACATCTTTGTTGTGAGAAATGATTGTTTTTCTTACACCCAGAAGTTCTGCATGTAACTGTTTGCGTAATCGTTGCAGTTTAGCCGATCTGGAATTTTGTTTGACATCTGCTAAATGCTTTTTGCTTGAACTGAAAAGACCAATAAACATAATTCATTAACAAACACCTTGTACTGGATATATACCATATTACACAAGTAAATAAAATGACATATATATGCAAATAGACAAATCCTGTAAGGTTAACATAATATAACAATGGGAATAGGGCCATCTAAGTGTGTCCTTGATGCTCACATATTTTGAATGATTAAAAAACAAGTCAAAATGTGTTCTTTGGATCACATTGCAAATATTTTTTATCTCATCTTGTTTTTCTTCTCACAGTTTAATTTCTATGCATTTCAGACAATGAAAACACTAATACCTTCCGGTATGCAAATGTTTTGCATTTAATACTGATTGATAGTTTAAAAGTTTTCAAATCTTCAGGTAAGACCATACCCCAGATTACCCACTTTGCAGTCCTGCCAATAACTAACTTTTACAGAAAAAAATCTTAAATTTACCTTTCAGTTTCTGAGGCTGTGCAAGTTTTTAGTTGCCTCTTCTTTAATTGTAAATTGTCATCATTATCATCAGATTCATTTTCATCTGAACTAGATATACCTTTGATTGGAAAAACACATATAAAATGTACTTAAATATAATGAGGACACCTGCAGTCTTCATTGTAGGCATGGAAACCTGAACATCCCTATTAACACACAGAGCCTAACACAGGAAGACCAAAGTGGATGTACTGTAATTGTACGAAAATGCCTTGTAATTAATTTTTGTTTACCTTCCAATTTCCTTTAAAAGCACTGTTTATCACTTTAACCATTATTTTATTTTTTCAGTAAATTTAGTTTTTTTTTAGTTTTTTAAAAGGACACCAATAAATACAAAACTTGTCACAATTGCCTAGTGTCATGATGACTTTTAGGGTGCTGGGGCCGGTTGTTCGAAAGGCGTTTAGCTTAAACGGTGGATAAGTTCAAAATGGAAAACCAAATTATCTATTTATTGAACAACTGAGCTGAAATATTTCAATGTGAATAGTTTAATTGTCAATGGAAGTACATATTAAATGCATAAGATGCAGGTTCAGTCATTCGCAAGATGTATGAGAGTATTTTTAAACTTTGGCTTATCCGCCATTTAAGCTAAACGCCTTTCGAACAACCGACCCCTGGAAATACTATTAGTACAAGCTTGTATGATACCAGGGAATCATTTGATGGGTTTTTATAAACATTCTTTGGGTGATATAGCACCATACTTTTAGTTTAATACTGTATAGACATACAAATATGTGAACACACTCCAATTTTCTGTCCACACTTGAGATTCTGGTACATGGTACTGATTTATTAAACAGAACTTTGGTTGTCTGTGCTGCTGCATTGGCCAAATATTTTAAGGTAATTCACATTAAGCCAGGCTGCACAATAAAGGTTTATACAATCCAATTTATAGATTATATTCCCAAATAGCCTTTAAAGCTCATCCCATATATATAGCTGTTATACATGTGATGTTCCTTAAAAACCTGAATCATCTGACTGATTGCCTTTAGATTGTTCAAAAATATTCTCAAAAATGCAGTATTAAATTTCTATTACAGTACCAGATTCCTACAGCTTCCGACTCTGGGTTGAATTCACATTATATGCAATTTACATGAAAAATCTGTTCTGTTTTATATCATATTGATTATGAAAATCTATATTTCTTACCATAGAATGGAAGCAAATTTCGTTTCTGAAAATTGGCTTGAGAATAGGTGCTAACAAGCTTGGACAACAGCGGATTAGTTGTCAATAATTCAACTTTCTTAGAAGCTCGATGTTCTGATGAATGTCTTGAAGTTTCATTACATCCAATGGCCCCTTCACCCCGCTTTGATAAAATATTTTGTGAGGCACAATGACTTGGCAGTAAAATTTCCGCTGTTGAAGGCTTTGGATTTGGTTTGGCCGTGTTTAAGCTCTGCTCGCTGGCTTTTTTCTTTCGACTTTTTTTCGGGACTAGCCCTAATACTTGCAGATGACTATTGCAATATCTAAACAAGAATGAAGCGAATGAGAAATACTTTTAATAACTATCATTCTGATAACAGATGTCCTTTATAAAAGGAACACACGATATATACACATTGTATAAAACACATTTTATATGAAATTTCATGCGACAAATTTGGGACCAAAATAGGCCAAACGTTTGCAATGAAACTCACATTCGATCCTCTTTCAATGGAATGGCATTTGTGCATCGTTGTCCATTATATTTTGCGACAAAATTGCACTGTTTGAAGGGGGAATTTTTATCCTCCAAGACGTGACGAATACAGAAAGCATAATGATTCAAACGCCGTTGCATACACGTCTTCTCGCTAAAGCTACATAACAACTTGCCGTCCACTGGCGACGAGTGGATATTTTTGCCCTCAAACATCGTTGTTGGCCGTTCTTTCTCGATTTTTTCGTTCTTAGTTGACGACGCCATTGCAATGTCTTAAATATGCTATTACGTGGAAACCCACGAACCATCGGGCGACTCTGTCTAAAATTTAATCACATAATACTTGTAGAAACACTGATGAATACAAAATATCGTTCAGGAACGTAAAAGAAACGACTAGGATTCCTTAATTTAAAAGAAACTTTGTGAAAAATCCCCTTCAACAGCTGGTTATCGCTTGCGTGGTTTGTCTCGAAGCGAGCGGTCAAGCCATGCATATAGATATTAAATTAGGCCAAATACATGACAAATACTTCACTTACTTTTATAGTTTTAGCTTCATTTCTTCCCCTAAGTTATTGTTTTCGTTCGAGTATTCGCCCATATTCGTTTTCCCTCGAAGAAATGAGCGAGGTTTTGTTGTGAAAATGCCTAGAAGGCTACCTGCTCACTCGGTTACCGCGCTTGCATTGTCTACACGGCCTACAAGCGCTCAAGAATCACACCCGAGCGCTGTACTCCCCGTTTTGGGGCAAGCACGCATAGTATTGAATGACAACAAACTACGGCCGCATAAATCGCCCTTCTTCGCAGAGGCATTGCAACTATGCGTCGACAATATATCAGAAGCGATGCGTTTGAATCGGAAAAAATACGCTCTTATTGTTGGAGCAGATTTCAGAAGAAATTTGGGGAGATTTCGAGGTTAATCTGCGAAATAAACACTGGCATTTTTAGTCAATCGCGAACCGGCAGAACGAAGTGCGAACGTGACATACAACGCGGACGCTGGGGCGAGGCATAACAACACAAATACAAGCATCTGATTGGTTCGTTGGCCCATGATACAGTGAATATTAATTGCGAAAAAATATTGTATGTCATTTTTTCAATATATTCACGTCCGATTTTGAAATCAGAAGTTTGAAATATATTTATTGACAATATACTATAATTTATTCGTGAAATAAATAAAGTCTAAGAACATAATGTGAATCTTTTTGGGTCGTACCCATATTAAAGTTTCTGGAAATCTTTCACAACCAGTTCAATATGTTCGAATACACATATCTTAAAATTAAACATAAAATAATAAAAAACATTGAGTAACACCACACAATGTGTACACGTCAGAAAGTCAGGACCGCCTCTCTATATCTATACATCATGTAATATAGCAGGCCTTTAGCAGGGGTATCCAACGGATAGTGGTTTTTTCAACCCCCTCAAAATTGCCCGTCGTTTGATTAAATCTTAGCATTCATAAATTGAGGATCCTCTTTAATAATTGCTGGTTCTATTAAAAGCTGGAAATTTTCTAGAACGGGTAAAAAAATCACTATCTGGGGCCGGTTGTATGAAAGCCGGATAGCGCTATCCACCGGATAGTGGTTTTTTCAATTGCTTCAAAATCGCCCGTTATTTGCTACAACTTTGATTAAATCTTAGTATTCCTAAATTGAAGATCCTCTTTAATAATTGTTGCTTTCAAGCTGAAATTTTATCCCCTTTCGAGCATTTTTAGAACGGTTGAAAAAATCACTATTCGGTGGATAGCGCTATCCGGCTTTGATACAACCGGCCCCTGGTGGATAGCGCTATCCGGCTTTCATACAACGGCCCCAGTATTCCAAATTGTGACGAAATATAGTCGATAACGACAAAACTTCAACTTTCTGTCCATGGAGTTACTTTTGCAAAGGCGAAAGAAAGTCCATGCCAAATGGCTAAAGAAACCAACAGGGCTTCCTCTTACAGAAAATTCCCTGAAATTGGGCGGGCCTAGACCTTTACGAACACCACTGTGTTCTGAGTTATAATGCGCTTCTACTAGTATATAAAAAAAGGATCAGGAAGCAGAAGTCGTTCAATCTCATACTGCATATTGTAAAATAAGTGCTGCTGTTATAGCCTAGGAAATTAACATGGTTGACGGTCATTGTGAAATTTCTTTTCGTTTCGCAAAACAGAACATCGACTTTTTTTCTTAGCAGATCATAATATAAATAACTTACTGAAAATCTGAAATGTTTATTGTGCAATTTCTCTCGCGAATCTCCCATGGCACGACAATTTTTCCGCGCGATTAAGATTGTAATGGAAGCTAGTATTATGGCAAAGTTGAAGATTTTTAAGAGCATGAATATTAAAGGTTTTCTTGGACTGCTTGGATATTCTCCGCTTCTTTTCCTTCAGAGCAAGATTCCGGGAGGGTCTTATCAGAGTTATCTGAAAATGCATTGCGATGTTTAAAATACACTTTTTTTATAATACAATGTCTTCTTTGGAAAAGGAGTTTATTGGAGACGAAATATCAAAAAAGTGTTAAAAAAAGGACTTTTTGTGGGGGGCAAGATTAAACGTAAGGGGGCCCCTCAACATTCCATAATTATACTGTACTGTAAGATGCTCATTCTTGTACATATTGTGAAGTGGAAATATCTTACTTTGTTCTTTTGTGTGAAAGGAGTTATAGTATTAAAGAGGAAAAAATATTCCAAAGAGAGAGGGGATAAACTAAATTACGGTGTAAACATTGTCTAAAACATCCTTTTTTTACTGCAACGTTTGAACATATATCTGCACTGCATTACTAATACACAGAAAATGACCTTTTTTACCTTCTATCGTTTCTTCAACATTTTCTGTCTCATGGTAGGGTTCTTCATTTATAGTTGTATCATCTGTGGAAAATTTTCGTTCTGGAGTAGAAAATCCCTCCAGTGGTGGAGCTGAAGGACGTTGCTTTTTCGCTTCATTCAGTTGGTAACAATAGCAGCAACGGAAAGCTATGGGATGAGAAAAACTTCACTTTATTAGTCTCTATGTTTTCATAAGACTGATTTAAACGCAAAAAGTCGAGTGATTAGGATTACTTTATTAAGAAGTTACTAACATGTGGTGTTAGAATGTTTTTGTAACTCAAATAGTCACGATGCGAGAGACTTTCAACATATTCTTACTTGTATATTCAAAGTCTTCTTTCAGCGCCATTCCATTATGCGAGTGACATGCTTTACATATCAAAGCGTAACGATTGCTGGGCCCGTCGCCAACGAGGTAGTCTACGAACTAATTCAATCAGAATATACTTTAACACTTACTATATAGGAATAAATAGCAAAGTTGTATAAATAAATGTAGGTGGTTTGCAATTAGTAACATCTTAGTTGATCTCTCAAAACATGGTAAGAAGTTAAGGAATAAACAAGAAAAGTAGAACAACTTAGTTTGTTCTCTTGAAAAGCAGAAGTAAAATTGTAATGCATGCAAACAAAGAATACATATATAGCAACCACTTTTTATTCACTTCTGCATAAGCAGGGTCCAGATTAGCACAAATAACGAGTATTAAGATCATTGGAAAGATGTTTGAAGATGATAAAACTTGATGTCGTACACCTTTTTAGTTATTCGGATTTAATGCTGTTTTTCTTAAAGACTTATACGACATGGTTTTAACTGCATGGGCATCAGACAGGTAGTATCATCAGGTAGTATCGACAAAATTATTGGACTAAGTCTTTGAATCTCTTTTGCTAGTGTATCATGCATCATTTTATTTCTTCCTGATAACATAACTTCTGGATTTGAGGCATAGGCTAGTCAACGAATTGTAGAATCGGTTACTTCTCATAACTACCTTATCAGCCATCGTTCTTTCTTTTGGTAAAACTGGTATAGGCTGTGGTGGACCAGGAGGAGTTCCTACGAAGTATGCACATAAATATTCAAAATGGATTCCTGTAACGGATCTACTGTATCTATTTTTACCACGCAATAAGCAAATACTTTAAATTTCTAATCTACCTAAGGAAATGAAAGAATTCTTTCAGTTTCTGATATTAACAGAGGACATGCTGGGCTAAGGAGACAGTATTGTGTCTCATAGTGCTAGTTCTCACTATTAGATTATTTTGGGTTTAGAAACGTACCAGGAGGCATGTTATTGATGAAGAATTGCCTTTGCATTGCAGGACTCATTCCTCGCAGTGGGGACATCATTTGTACTTTAGGTGTTGCAGAAAAGGGAACTGGTTTTTGAGAAAATGACGAGTTGGGTGTCGACATAGCTCTGGGAACATTTCGTTGTCTAACTTCTATGATAGAAAAGTATATATATATTTTATGCTTAAACAACATATTAATTTTATACATTTTATTCAAAATATAGTTATTAATGGCCGGTGGATGCTCTATGTACATGACGTGATGTTAACCCATTTTGGTATGATTACAAAAGAAATTAAATTTTGCAAATTGTAGGCACTGATTGGTCAAGCAACCTCTGCATGATTATCACCTAATAATCATCTGACTTCATAATTTCAGCAATATTCACCTCACCTTTGGCAATGAATAAGTACAAATAATCAAATCTAAATAATAGAGTCTTTGATTGTGGTGGAAAAGACCTAAAGTGACATATTTGTACGCATTTACATACCTCCTCAAGAATGACACTGGGTCTGCTATTTAGAAAAAATGCTCAGTTCATTTAGAATTTGACAATATAATTCTATGCATGCTTCTTACCAGTGCCTGGAGTGACACAAGGCATTTTTCCGTTAGTGGTGTGTTGCTTAGCATCGTTCTACAGGATGAGAGCATACCATATATTGTGTTATCATTTAACATTGACATTGATGAACACTATATATAGAACAATATTTAAACAACCTTCACAAGACTGTTTTCAGGGTCAAACTTCTCTAGAATTTCTTTTGCTTTTTTGTAGGTTTCTTTTTCCTTTACATCTTCAATCTTAAGAACAATGAAATTGAGATGAACAACAATATTTAAAATGACAATCTATATATATATATATATATATATATATATATATATATATATATATATATATATATATATATATATATATATATATATATATATATATATATAGTTATAGATGAAATTGGGGTTAAAATGGTACTTCCTGTCTCTCTTTTCATGTTGCTAACCAATTCAAAAGATATTGTGAGCAATGATTGTAATTGCTCACAATTGTGTGTGTGTGAGTCAGCTTTTAAAAATTATTCAGGCATATGTATATAGAGAGAGGAAAATGTGGTGTACTCACAATTTTCTGCTTTTTAGATCGAAGTTCTTCAAGCTTTTGTGCTATAAGAAAAAACAGCATCACTGCATTGACATAAGAAAGTGTATGCATATTCTAATGCATTTCATGATTATTTAAACACATTTCCCCATCAATAATTCATAGTATTATCATATATTACACTGAAATACAAATAAATGCATACTTGCAGACAAAAATATGATTATGATATATTATACTATAAATGCATAATTTGTTAACAAACCATTTTTCTTTTTCCTTGTACTAAACACATACATAAGTGTTCTCCTTACTCCATAAATTCTAAGAAAACAACAGACCAACAGGTATGAGGCCAGTTTAAGATGTTGTTTTTTCACAAATTGGCTAATTTGGTATGACCAAAGAGCAGCATAGGATTACCGCCTGCCATGCAGGCTACAGATTAATGTGTACATCTAGTTATATCTTTTTTTACGTAGGAAGCATCCACAGATTGGAGGCACCAATCTCAAGGGGCACTTAATAAAAAGGGCAGCTAAAAATATGTATAGGGATAGTTTGACTGCCATGCAAAGCTGCAAGGACACCACTAATGTGGTTTATATTTAGGGCACCTTCGATTTGAAACACAAGATATATAGATTTATAATCTATATTTCTCCCTGTCTTTAGCCTTTTAGAATATCAAGTGCAAGCCACATTGTTTAATAATAGTTATACTCAAGATTGCATTTACTTGCACATACATTAGGGGGAAAATCAATAATGGGAGAATTCTTGTAATTCTGTCTTTCCACTGCTTTGGAAAATAGTAGAAATACATAACCACAGCTGATACAATGTACAGCATAATGGAGTAAAACATTAGACGACCAATGAATCGTTGATAGAACTGTTCATCTTTTTGTCTGGCAGACTCGAGTTTGTGGAGTTGCTATAAACATTGAATAATTAGTATGTAACAACATTGGTAACAACATAGTCAAAGTCTCAATATACTTCCCATATAACATATAATTGAGTAATGAGTAATGAAAATGAAAGGAATCTATAGTTTAAATGTGCTAAAATTAAATATCATTCTCTATGCATATTACATTATACATTGTTTGCTATAGGCCCTACAGTATTATCAAAGGCAAAACAGACTTGTTAAAAATTGTCCCAGTCATACAATAAGCCTCTAAACAAAGACTACTGTGTATGATACTGCATGACTCAGTATGAGTAAATACTATTTGGTTTCGAAGCAGCCTTCTTAAATATCGATTAAACCATGCAGAGGTCTTTTCTGAATGATTTTATAATTTTAGCAAAGCAAACACTTGATGAAAGGGAACTAATGGACAAGTGGCTGACATCTTCATGACAGATCAGCAAAATATTACAATATAAGTTAATAAAGATATTTATTCAAATTCACCAATTGCATCGGAATACCTCTTGCAAAGACTCCAATTCTTTTTCAGCAGATTCCTCACGCTGTGAGCAAATACAGGGTACGTGAAAAACACGATTAAAAATTTAGCACAAGCACTGCCACACTCCAAATCACCAAATGTAGATCTGCTTAATCTATTTTACTGAAAAAGAACTCTAACTTACCCTCCATCGTTTGAGAATGGCACCCATTATTTGGCTAAAACCTCGATCACAGATTAATATGTCCAAACGGGTATATTCCTGTCTGTCCGAGCATTGTTTTCAAATTTAATATCACTTTGATCTTTCACTTCTTGACGCTAATATTCGCCATGTTGCACATTTCCTGAGATTTCCAATAATCCAATTTCCGGCACCAGTTGCTACCGCCTGTTCGCAGGCATTTTCCACAGGGAAAAAATCACGGAAAAAATTGAAAACTAGAAGTCTAGATTCTAGAATCAACCAAAGTACAAACCGTTTTAAAAAGTAAAAAGCCATAAAACAGACTGACACGGTAAAACCTAGTGAATGTCGAATATACCAGGATATGGACCAGTATAGTGCTGGGCCCGGTTGTATCAAGCCCTTAAGCTTAAACGGTGGGTAAGTCAAAATTAAACAAGACGCCTGTTCTGGCCTCAGTTGTAAACAGTATCTTTGTATTAAGGTCAAAAACATTTATTTTGAACTTATTCACCGTATAAGCTAAACGGGCTTGATACAACCGACCCCTGCAGTATAGTTCAAAATATTGCAACAGTCAGCCAAACGTAATGCTGGTGTCCACCCTTCTCTTGGTGTATGTTTCTTCATATTGAACAAAGCTCTGCGCAGCTATAGATCGTATAGCGAGAACTCTTTCGGCAGCAGGCCTGCAAAGCCTTCCCAGTCCTCAAATTTTTAAATTTGTTTGAAAGACCTTTTTAAACAAAGTTTCTTATGTCTGCCGGCCTGCTATAGCATTTCCATTTAAAGTCTTCCTGGTTTAATCGTATTGCCTATTGGGTGTTGGTACATTTTTGTTTCGTAGTGAGCATTACTTTAGACTTTCGCTTAGGATATTTCGACAAATATTGCACTGCGAAGGTACTATCTATAGGCAGCAAGGTAGGTTTAAACTTGGGTTTAATCACTATATAAAGTCTATATAGTAATTGTCTAAAGAATTTATTGAAACTATACATATGACATCTAACTCATAGCTTTATAACATCATAACTCAACTCTGAATCTAATTCGTATATTAGCTAGAATTCACATAAAAAATCATGCAAAATCACATTACAAGTATTACGCTTCAGTCAGCATTTACAGCCAAGTTTAAGAGTTTAGTGGATTGATAGATAACATGTTCATTAAAACAAAGATTGAATTTAATTTAGAGCATAATTATAGAATGACTGCAACCGTTTATAGGGTAATTTCCACATAATTTCCTGGAAATAGCCCAGTCATGCCATCTAAGACTCCCTCATACCATCCATCGCTATTTTTCTTCAACACATAGATTATTTCCCCTTCTTTGAATGACAATTCATCGTCCCTGGTTGCTTCGTAATCATAAATACTGACAACTATATATGAGATAAAAGCATATACTGTTGAGAACATTGATGTACTTATCGTCCCTATTTTCACACAAGGATTGATACAACTATCCATATATACTCCACCTTTTTCCTCGTAGTTTTCAGGAACCCAAGCCGGGAGGGCAGGCGCAGGATCTGCATCGGGCATCGGTGGGGGTGGCGGTGGTAATGGACTGAATTCACCTGCGACAAAATAATTCCAATTTAATCGACTAAGTTTAGTTTTCCAATCAAGTTGCTCTGAAAATACATCAAGAAACTTTGCAAAGCACTCGTGAATTAAAGATTTCAGAGAATGAGATACGCAAAACAATGGTGACAAAGAACATATAGAAAATGACCCTAGAGGCACTAAATTAATCAATTATGGTTCTTTGTTAATTGAATGAAAAAATGAAAAATAGGTTTATTTGATAATTAGAGATGAATTGCATAGATGCATGTAGGTGGTTTAGATGTTAGATATCATACATAGTATATTCTTAGCCGTGCCGTGCTGATAAATTGAATGTAGTGTAAACGGGGCTTTGGTGGGAATTGTGTATTATGTCAATGTAATCGAAGGGTCTGGATCAGATCTATATATAATATTTGTAAATATCAATATAACCCACGAATAGAAAGAGTAATAGTACAACAAGAATGAAGGGTAAAAGTGAGGAAACAGGGATTATTCAGCCTAATTTTAGGCGTCAGCTGATTAATTGTATCAAACCTGAGCTACTCGGCTCTCCCTGATTTGCGAAAGGACTAGGCGGTGGTGGAAGGAACTCTGGAAAAAAATTGTAACACGGGAGTGAATGCATATACGTACGATTGTTAGTTGACGTTTGTTAGTTGATGCGATTATTGAGTTAGTTGATGCGATTATTCACGATACACGAAACCGTCAGAGCACTAGTGATATATATCAAGAGAATACTTACGCGAAGATTGTTAGGTTTAGTGTAGATTAATTGAATGAATAGATAAGTTGTTAAATTTCAATCTGACGTTGGTGTTTACCTAATCTAACAACTATATAGTTGGCAGAAAGTAATGAAATATCTGCTTTAATCTATTGTTTCAACTAAAGAAAGTACGGATCAACTGTCTATCAGTAAATCGTACAGATGTATAGTGAGCGTAATATAATTTCAGGTTAGAGTATTAGCATTACCGGTAATCCCATCATTCATCGCCAAAATATAATTAAATCATTACCATGCAAAGCATTTTGATTACCATCCACATCAAGCGTCATAGGGGGAGGTGGTGGTGGACCTGGTGACATAGGTTCTAAATCTGCAGGTATTGGAGGGGGTGGTGGTGGCAAGTCAACAGGGGAGCCTGGTGGGTTTATCATGGGTGGCGGGGGTGGGGCAACATTTGGCAAAGAGGGAGGGGGGTATCCCCCATTTGGGATTTTTGGAACTTCAGGTGGGGGTGGGGGTGCACTTGGGGGTGGTTGGTTCTTAGTTCGAACTCGAAGAGTGCCTGTAGTAACCGCCTTTGGTGCGGTGGGAGGTGCTGTAGGCGTGTTGGGTACAGCCGTTGATCGTTGATTGCTACGTACAGACGGATTCCGCTTTGGTTCTGCTGTAGCAGACTTGGAACCGTGACCTCAAATAGAATAAATAAAAATAAACGCTCAATTTTAAATCTTTAGCACGGTTTCCACAACCTATTTACATTTGACTGTCCTCATAGGGTGATAGCAATGAGGCCCCAATGACAAATGAGAGAGACAAAGAACTTTTGAAAAGATAGCATGATATATCCTGTTAACACTGCTCCCTCCCTCTCTCTCATTTTTAAGGAAATTTCTTTTATTGTGGAAACTCTGATCTTTAGCAATATAGACCTATATAAAACAGGGTTGCTAGATTACTGACAAAAAAGTTCAATATTGTTTTAAGCATATTGTAGTGCATGTAAGCGTCCTTGTCAATTTGTATTTCCGCTAGACACTATACCACAAGATGATCTTCTTTCTACCGCCTGCATCTCGTGCATTGTAGTCAGACATTCCACCTACCGACTGCATCTAGTGCATTGTAGTCAATCGGCTGCCTTTGGTAACGTTTGGGTTGTTCTCTCTGTGAAGGAGCGATTATTTTGTGTCCTCGTGTTGTGTTTTTGCTTGATGCCAGGACACCGATCTCTCTACGGGCTACTTTTTCCTTGTGCACATGAACGACCTAAATGGATGTTACTTTTTATAGCATAGTGGGAAAGCACAAATGACAATCGAGCCCCAATAAAACCTATAGCATTTTAATAACATGAAAAAAAGTAGAGAAAAAAGAACAGCGTGCCAAAAGGGAAAGTCAAGAGTATATCGTGCATGCATGTAATATTTGTTAGGTCTGTTCCCAATATGGCCAATTCACTTCTGATAGATGTTTTATAGTCCCATTTTAGCCTTGTCATGCCAATAAATCAAGTGCAATGTAACGGTCTGTTCGCACGATCCAATTCAATTCTGATGGATGTTTTATAAGCCCCGTTTACACTACACTCAATTTATCGGCACGGCACGGTTAAAATGGGTACCCGTGCCCGGCCTTTGTATTGATAGCCTAAACACTAATAAAATTGGGTATGGGTACGCGCCGTGCCAATAAATTGACTGTAGTGTAAACGGGGCTATAGTCTGTTGTCTTGTAATGTATATCAGCTGTATATCAATGTAATTAATGAATATCAATGCACAACAGTTTCATCAATTGCCGACTATATTTCATACGTCAAAAGTGAAGTGGATACAACAAAATTGGATCGTGCGAGTAGACATTAAAAGGGGCTTGAGTATTGAATACAGAAGAATTTACTTTCCTTTACATTCATAAAAAAATATTCTTTATAAGTTTTAATTGCTCATATGCGCACTTAGGCGCGGAAAGAAGCTAAGTTTTTCTAAATAATTGTAATCTTAAATTTTAGTACTGATAACTATTTAATACCACATGGGTCCCACATGAAACATGTGGTATTTCCATTTTTAACCCCCGTAGATACTTATATGTCAAATAATATTAAGGACGAAATCAAGAGTCAGGAATAAACTACTGTACATGTACTTAACATGTATTAGAACCCGGCTAACTAAAAGCATCGACTATGTTACCTTAATTCATGGGCGTCAATCGAACGTTGATTGAGGGGGAACATATTGATATATTTAGGCTGATTTCTATTGAAAGTGAAATTGTTTTCACACGCGAAATTAGCAAGGCATGGCAGAATATATGAATATGGCCCCCCTTAATTAACGTTCAATTGACGTTTTGTCCACCTTGACGCCAATTAGCCATTTTCCAATCGAGCAGGGTACTGGGTCTAGTCTCCAACCGCAAAGCCCCTATTGACTGTTTGGAGGGACAGGAGATAGAAGTCTGAAATCATTTGTCCCTCCAAACAGTCCATAGATGCCTTGCGGTTCACGACTGGACCCAGCACCCTGCTCGATTGGGAAATGGCTAATGCCTAATTTGTCTATTGACCCCTTGTCCCTCACCGCCCTCCACCCCCCTGTGAAGCTATATGCGTAATGCTGTATACACGATACTAAACACAATTAAACGTTCGCAACATGCAGAAAGAGTATTCATTATTATTCAGTCAGAGGTATCTGAATGCTAAAATAATTTTGTGTCACATTTGTTTACGTTCAGACATAATCAGGTCTGTTTCCTAGATAGCTCAAAAACGTGTCATTAAATTTGCACTTTTGGTGACGAATATCAGAGTTTTTAAAACTGTCAGTCCTTAATGTTAGATTTTGATTTATTTTGCCACTTTAGATGGTCTTAATCTTCAAAACTACAGTTAAACGATTCTTAGATAAGTACCAATATAACCAGAACAAACAAATGTGGTATAACTGCCTAAAATGGGCAAAAACACTTCTCCATATTTCAACTCAAAAGTCTTCGTTCCTGACGGAAGGTCGAAACGTCGAGAAATGTTTTTGTCTATTTTAGACAGTTGTTACACCTCATTTGACACGAAAATTTCAGATAACACGTACAATCTTGCCAAATCCGCAACACTCACATTTTCTGTTCTTAGTTGCTAGAAAAATTGTAGCAATTAGCATACCTTATTAAAACATTCGCAGGTCACGCGATTTATTTCTATTCAATATCTTAAAGTTGTGGTTTATCGCAAGGTTTTGTTTTATCTCACAATTTAAATCGGTGTGGTCTAAAGTGTCCTAGATTTATCATTTTAGTGTCAAGTGATATAAAATGATGAAGTACTGATATTCACTCTTTTTCAGAAAAAATGAGATGTATAATTGAACTTACTTTAAACCATCAGTGCAGAACGTTGCGTATTGTGTTTCATTTCCCTTTAGACACTGCAGTCATCAGTTCATAAAAGTTAACGTTATCTTCCGGAGACCAATAACAATAATAAAAATTTGGACATAAAATCCGAATTATAATCCTGAATATGAAAAGTATTTTGTGTCACGAAATTATTTTGATCACATTTGCGTGCATGTGTATGATCTACATACAATTTACGTTCAGACTTTGATTTGTCTCCTAATAACCTCAAAACGTGTCATTAAATTTGCATTTTTTGTGACAGTAATTGACGGAATAATGTGAGAGTTGTTTAAACGGTCAGTATTTGTTTGATTTTGAACAATTTTGCTAGTTTGTATGATCTTTATCTTCAAAACTATTGTTAAATCATTCTTAGATAACACGTCTTCACGTCTTTCGCTTAATTTGCAGAGGGATCGCTCATGGTCTTACAAAAGCTTGATCATAGGATAAATCTGGAAAACCATTCGCATAGCTTGCCATTAATTCTCATAATGTTGTCAGACAGATATTTTGACAAATCTGCGCGAGAGACTGGAAAGGGGCTTCCAAAGAAGATTGAATTAGTGGGTTCCACGGACACCGCAGAAATTGGTGTTTAAGACGTTTCAACCCGAAAATCTAATCGCTGGTTCATAATTGTGCATTTCTGTATCGCCCTATCAAACAGAAACCTTTTGAATATCTTAAAAAAGTTCAATTTTTCTTCTCAATACGCATTTTGCAATCTTTTGACAGCTCATCATACACATCTGACAGCTGTGAAATGGCCATTTTGAGGCTTAAAGTATACACAAGGTTATTAATTCAGACGATTCGTTTTTACCGTGAGCAAGCTTCAAATCTTTTGTGCAAGACATATTTTCTTGAATATTTATAAACCTTTTTCCTCACCAAGTTTGAAGTCTAAGTATCGAGAATTGCGGCTAAGCGTATACCAATTTCCGCGGTGTCGGTTCCACGTATTGTATTCAAAGTGATTTGAGTATATGATGTGATTTGCTTCGACCTTATGCTGAGGAGGAGTGAGCAAATGATACGAAATTGCGTATATTTGCCACAAAGGCAACACGTACAGTGAACAATTAACTCACTCCAATTTCCTGTGTCTTGATTTCGAGATGACCCTATTGGAATTATGACGTCACATGAAACCCAAGAATACAACTACGATAAGGATACAATCTTGCCAAATCTGCAACACTTTTAATTGCTATAAGTATTGCAGCAATTAGCATACCTTATTTAAAACATTCGCAGGTCACGCGATTTATTATTCTATTTTTTTTTCAACATCCCGAAGTTTTTGTTTTATCTAACAATTCAAATCGGTGTGTGGTCTAAGATTTGAGTGCCAAGTGACATAAAATAATGAAGTATGTACACCCGTTTTCTTAAAAAATGAGATGCATGAAAGTAATTGCATACTTCAGTATTCATAATTGCATTGTCCTAAAACAATTAATGCAGGACGTTGCATATTGTGTTTTATAGACACTGTCATTAGTTCTTAAAAGTTAACATTATCTTCCAGAGACCATAAATATAAAATTGCAAAAAGGGGGAAATAAAATCCAAATTATAAATATTCATACTACAGCTCATGGTTAGTGTTTACAAAGAAAATCCTGAATCAATCCAATTGATTGGATTTCCATTCATATATTGGAGATCACTCAACATTTATTATAGCCTATGTAAGAGGGGTGGGGGGGGGGGTAGTACAACAAATTCAACAAGAATTAGGGGGAAATGCTACTTAAAATCAGTCTTATGCAGTTAAATACCACATTTATAACTGCCACACTGTCCCTTGGTTACACTGCATTACATTATTCTAGATTTAGATTGACATTGTTACCTAACATAATCACAATCCCTATATAAGTTTTGATTATCGCATGAAGAGTGAGGTAACATCAGTTGTATCACTGAGTCCTGAGCAATATGAAATACTTTAGGTTTCTTTAGGAAACGAGGTTGTGATCAGGGTTCTATTAACAGACAATTTAATAGGGTTCAGAACCATCATGTTGGTATTATTAAAAATATGTATCTGAGGAGTTTTTTTGTATTAGTATTTCATCTGACATTCAGTGGTTTAAATTGCATTTTGCAAGAATGTCATAGCGTGCTTTCCTTTAGGCCTTTAAGCAGCCAAAATGGTCAGACCGATCATATTCTAAATTGAAATAGAGTATTTCATTAGGAACAGAGCAGTGAAACTGCATTTACCGTGCTAGTCAGATGTAATAGTCAGATGATATACTTGAATGCAGAGTTCTTTAAACACCCTAAAATACCAGTAATTTGTCTGTACCAAAATACAATAGGACCGATGTGGCTGTTTTTACTGTATAAAGGAAAGTGGCAATAGTTGGTATGTCATCTAATTTCTTATCTGAAAGACCAGTTTTAACTTTCAGGTCTCTAAAGACCAAGGAAATGAAGGAATCTTGAAAATCATCTGGTGAGGAATATACCTAATGCTGTCTTTTAATGGCCTTGTGCATAAGTGTCTTAAATTACGGAAAATATATTTATGCAAAGTTGGCAAAATTTGTATATATACAAATTATTACATATGGTTACACATCTCCAAATGTAAATGCCAATTGTACTAATTTTAATATGCTCTTACCACCTGTGGTAATTTTTTTCCTCTTTTCATCCAGATCTACAATTCACCTATACATTAGGTCCCAAGATCAAGGTCTAATATAACTAGTATATTATACTGAAGCTAATATGTGCCCAGTTTTTGCCACATCCTAAGTATTGTTTAATATTAATTTATTTCTTGTTTGACTTTGGTTACTTTCTGTTGAACTGCAGATTCTGTCATTTTTACTGATAAATTTAGACAATGGACTGAGTATGCCGAGGAATATTCAAAAGTTAAATACTCTGCTCAGCATGGTAAATATTTAAGTAAATACCATATCCGATGAAAACAGCCAAGGTACAAGCTGTCCAGGGCATGGTATTTGCATGGTCACATGGTATAAAACAAGTTCTATGATTGGACAAGTTGTTGTGAGGTACAATATTTGCTATACCATACTATCATATTCATATCAACTCATTTAAGTGATTCAACTGTACATTATGCAAATAAAGCTGTTGTGTTGCTTCATATTTATTGGCTTTTTAGTAATGTGTATTGAATGTTGCTCGTATCGCACTAAAACGTACTGCTATAAAATAAATTAAAAAAATTTCTAGTCAGAGATTAATTCAGGACTCATGATCAGGAGTATTATAAAATCGGGTGTTCAATCGAAATTCGAATGAGATTTCAATTCTAATGATAAATAAGCAATCGTCAAAACTGGAAAAAACTTACATTGGAAATATAGCTGATATCAGAATTCATTTGACTAAGTTGACTTGCTTGATTATCAAGCAAATCGAGGACACTTGCGGCGAGCGCATGAATCTGATAAGCGACACTGGCCAAAGATTGTGTCGCATACTGTTTCGTCTCGGCAAAAACTGCTCGTGTTTCTTCCAAAGCTTTCGTCTTATCGTTGCTTTTGTACGTATTATTCACCGATATATATTGTCGCTCACAATAATCGGCGATTTCAGCAAGATTTTTATGGCTATCTTGAAGAGCTTTCTTGCCACTTGGAATGTTCTGTTCAAAAATTGTTGCAATATTTCTGTTCACTTCCTCCATGTTTGATGGTTTGACGTTGTTTTGGACTTTTGGTGCTCGAACTTCGAAGGATTCGTGTGTACCCTGGGTGTGTACACGAGTTATCCCATGCAATCCCCAAATTGATAAAAGAACGTCCCGTGACTTTCGTCAAATTTTTCAGAATTTAGTCAATGATAAATCGAACAATGTGACAAAAGAGAGTCAAAATTAAATTATGCAAGAAAAATCCATTCAGATTTTATTTAAGTCAGCATATGTGATATTTTAGGGTAATAAGGATGTACGATCTACCTTTAAACTGTGTTGTGTTTGATACTTTAGGAGTTAGGACTATATGATCTGGCTTGCATTGTCTCGGTGGTTCTCGCCCACCTTGCCTTAGTCCCTAGACCTAGTATATTCTTAAAACCTTTACTAATCTTTACTAATATTTTCACTATTGTTCCATCGATTGTGAAATCGAAACTGGTCGATCATGCTTTTTGTGAGAGGTGACTGGCACTTTTCACTACTCAGCTTGACAGCTGGGTTCAGTAAACGTGACTGGAATGTGCAGGCAATATGCAAATAATGACAATGCATAAGAGTATTTATGCAACTTACCTTCATGCATCTAATTGTGTGCTGTTTGTTCCCCGGAAAATTTATTCAATATCGCGATGTATCTTTATGAGAATATAGTTTGTGTCTTCCTTACCGTTATTCTGTTGTCTGGGGTCCTTACGGTGAATACCTCACCATGTGTAAATGATTGTAAGAAAAAGGTAAGTGGGCAGCCAGAAAGAAAGCGTAGACGTAGTTTACATTGATTTCGTTCAATAATATGGCAATGTATGTCGGTATCAAATCTGACTTGAAAGCATCAGCGACATTTCTTTACATAATTTCAATACTGAAATAATAAATAATTGCTCAATTAAAACTACTGCAGCAATGTATATTTTATACAGAAAATCTACGTTTTAAGAGTGTACTCAGTGTAGGATCGGGAGAGTCACATGGTGGTCAACTATTTCTTTCCGATTGTTTTCGGTGATATGATTACCTTATATGAATTCAGTGAAAATATAAAGTCAAAATTTTCAATCGTGATATACCCCCAAAAAAGTGTCAAAATAAAAGAATCTGCAATATGCTTTAAGCATAGCTCTCATATGTCAGCGACACTTAACGATGCTATTGTCGATGATAACCGACGAATGGATTTGTATTTTGAATAAATTTTCTTCGTCACCGATCATTACCAATACAGGTAGCGACTGCCGAACAGAGAATATTAGGTGTAACACTTGTACAATTCAGCATGAATCATATAGATTTAATTTGCAAAGTAGTCATGAGTAGTCAATAGTCTGGGGACACTGACTGGGGATGGTGAAACGAGGAAAAATCCTGGGTTGGTTGGGACCGGAATGCATGGGCTCATATCAGGCCCAGACCGCCCAGTGAAGTGAAATAAGACTGAAACGCTCACTCAGAGAGTAAGCGTTCCAGTCTTATTTGAGTTCACTGATCAGGCCCAGCCTCGTTCCCAGGCGCTTTGAATAAAATAAATATAGGAACACTACAGGCTTTTACATAGATCGGCTAAGCTGAGCGAGCGCAAGCGCTATTTCTCCGTCGTGTCCTCCCCAAAACTTCTTGCGCGCTCCCTCTAATTTACCACTGATCTATGTAAAAGCCTGTAATGTTCCTATATTTATTTTATTTAAAGCGCCTGGGAACGAGGCTGGATCAGGCCCTTCAATCGCTATGCCCTGGAAATTGCCAGTCCGCCCCGGTCAAATTCGAAGTAATCTGCCACCTGATTGGTCAATCTCCACGAGAAGATTTATTGGCTTGTTTCTATTTATTTATTTTATTACTGTGCAGTTGTGCAACCTTAGCTCAACATTGTATTGTTTAAATTCATCATTGATGACTAATGAAAAAATTCTGACTGAAGAATTCTTTGTACAAAAATTTCGAGGTAAACGAATGAGTGTAATTGTAAATGTGGAAATAAGCGCGACATTCAACTGCCAACTGGGTTATACAACTCTTATAGTTTGCTTATTACTTTATCATAAATGACAAATTCATGATGAAATAATAAGAGAATGGTAATAGAGGGATTGTGAGCAGTCTAAAACAAATATCTCTAGAATGATCTAAAAACACAGAAACTTGGTAAATTTTTCATTATATAAAGTATTAATTTATATATAAAAAAATAATAATATTTCCGTTGCAGTGGCATAATTAAGTCTTTTGGGTTGTGAATTCATACAGTGGGGAATTCAGGGTTAGGCAGAATAAATGAATGCAGCTCAAAATCGGTATCGCATTGGTAGATTTTTATTTAAAAATATTCTTTAGAAATCCATGACCAATTGCATTGTTATTAAGGTATGTGAGTAAAATTAAGCCTTGTAATTTATTCCGCCTAACCCTAGATCCGCCACTGATTTCACAGAGCTGAAACTAGTGCCATAATTAGGGGATGAATATTCATATATTCTGTTCTGTCAGACAGATTTCTTTTGAAAATATACATATACAAAGGAAATCTGTATACAAATATATATGTATACAAATATATATGAATGTGCACCCTTTAAATTATTGCACTAACTTTTTACTGCACTAAATTATTGGTTAATCAACTGGATTGTAAATCCTGTATTCAGGTTAATACCTCCAAATCTTATATATTTTCAATCCAAGATTGAGTCTGTACTTCATAAGTGAATGTAAAATTATCTTGCAATGTGCCTCTGATACTCTCCTGGCTGGTGTTGGACTAATGATTTGGGATAGGGTTTCCTCTTAGGTATTCAAAGGTGTGGTTAATTTATTTTTTTCTGCTACCCCCATTTTGCATCTACATTCACAGGAACTGAGGAACATTTAATATTGCAACAAAGGTGTGGGAAGCAATGTGGTACCTCACTGTACCCTAAGTATTCCAGCATATAATCCTGCAAACATGACAATAACCAATAACAACATCAAACATTCATTGAAATCTTTCATTTTAGAAAGTACGTGTAAATAGTTTGTGTCACATACACTATATTTTAAAATCTTGACTTCAGATTAACTCATATCATTAACGAATATCATTAACATGCCAAAAGTTGCTCCCCCAGACCCCACTAATATTCCCACTAATGGTTTGTTGCTGCGCGGAATATATGCGCAGAACGGACTTACCTCATCTTTAAAGCAATATGTGTCTTGAAGTTTTTATTGTAAATATAGTTATTGTAAACTTTTAGAATAAAATGCGAGGTAAACACACAAAAAATGGTAAGTGCCAGCGCTTATTCTAGTCAGCAACACTCGATTGTTCGTTATTGGGTTTGCGCATGCGATAAATCTCCAAGAATCTTGGAGATTCCTCAGGGTCAGAGAGTTCATAGTCTATTTCGGGCATGGGTCTGCGGCGCAGGCTAGAGAGTTCACTGGGGTCAGAATTCCTTGCGTGCTCGCTCCGCTTAGCCACTGATCTATGTAAAAACCCTGTAGTGTTCCTATATTTTATTTTATTTAAAGCGCCTGGGAACGAGGCTGGGGGTCAGAGTCTTCGTTGGCCGACAGACCGTTGTTCCCCTCGCCATGAACACAAAAGACGCTGGGCACGAGGTTTGATGACAAGATATTCAGCTCCGGGTTCGTGGCTCCGGGTTCGCGAACCCGGAGCTGGCTCCGGATTCGAGCGAACCCGGAGCTGGAGTGGCTAGTTTTCATACAAACCGATGTGGCCGCTTCGCTTTTGATGGGAATCGAAAAATTTAAAAAGGCCATTTTTTTTTGTTATATTATCAAGAACATGGCCTAAAATGAGAGTTTTTTTTTATTTACTTTGCTCGCAATAGCTCCGTGAAAATGGCCATTTTTTTCGCAAAGTTGACTGGTCAGCGGCACGGGAGACCGCCAGGCTTTATAAAAGTTCGATTTACTAGCTTTACGACGAGTTTTTGTAAAAACTAAAAGATGGCCATTCGAGAGAAAGCTTATGAGAATATCCTTATAGTTCTAACCTTCTTCTAGCTTGCGAAACCACGACAGGCAACTTCTGTAAAGTCTAGCTGTCTGATTTAAACCACGCACCCGTGGCATAAATTTAATCCCTTCGGAAAGGCAACTAACCCGGTTTCTGCAGATTTTCGTTTTTCCACATTGGTTTATTGAACTGTAAATGTCATATCATCAATGCTAACAATTATTCGAATACTCTAAGCAAAAAAAGATCTCTTCTACCTGTAATATGCTACGGAAACAACACCGTCAAACAAGTGTACACAAAGCGACTCAAATCGACAAACGGCCATTGCATGTTAAGTACGCTTTTCATCGCCGAGATTTTTTCGCTGATTTCTTCGCTAATTCGACTTTAAATAAAATTCTAAAAGATGGCCATTTGAGATATACATTCATACTCTTCCACCACAAAGATTTGAGGTTCTAGGATTCGTATCCAGTGAGCACAACTCCTGAGAGTACATGCCGTCAGAATTCTGTCACGACCCGATCATTAACATTACAACCTGATGGACACAACCGCCATGTTTAGAGCAAATTCACGCTTTAGCGGACAACGCTGGTAAACCATAAACCCCATATTATTATTGTTAGCCATCATTCGAATGCTTTACGCTAAAAATATCTTTACTTCTCTTACTACACGGCGCAAACAGCATCGCTAAACCATGGTCTTAAAAACGGCTCAAGTTCTCAAACGTCAGAAATATGTCAAATAAGCTGAACATCACTCGGATTGTTTCGAAAATTTCGTCGCTGTTTCGACTTCATATAAAATTCTAAAAGATGGCCATTTGAGATTTATATTCATACTACACCATGAAAGTTTTATAGGGCTTCGGGATTCATATTCAGCGCCAACAACTCACGAGAATACAAATTTTGTTGACAACAAACTCTCGGGCGATGATAATTAACATTGTCATTGTTTTGATCTCAGGGAAAACCCATCAGGAAGATCGGGTGATTATTTAATTCTGTACTCGGGTAGTAGACGTTTTTACTTTACCACTTAAGCTTAGACCTTTAAACTGATTATCACTACCCGAGTACAGAATTAAATAATCACCCGATCTTCCTGATGGGTTTTCCCTGAGATCAAAACAATGACAATGTTAATTATCATCGCCCGAGAGTTTGTTGTCAACAAAATTTGTATTCTCGTGAGTTGTTGGCGCTGAATATGAATCCCGAAGCCCTATAAAACTTTCATGGTGTAGTATGAATATAAATCTCAAATGGCCATCTTTTAGAATTTTATATGAAGTCGAAACAGCGACGAAATTTTCGAAACAATCCGAGTGATGTTCAGCTTATTTGACATATTTCTGACGTTTGAGAACTTGAGCCGTTTTTAAGACCATGGTTTAGCGATGCTGTTTGCGCCGTGTAGTAAGAGAAGTAAAGATATTTTTAGCGTAAAGCATTCGAATGATGGCTAACAATAATAATATGGGGTTTATGGTTTACCAGCGTTGTCCGCTAAAGCGTGAATTTGCTCTAAACACGGCGGTTGTGTCCATCAGGTTGTAATGTTAATGATGTCGGGTCGTGACAGAATTCTGACGGCATGTACTCTCAGGAGTTGTGCTCACTGGATACGAATCCTAGAACCTCAAATCTTTGTGGTGGAAGAGTATGAATGTATATCTCAAATGGCCATCTTT